GGGGGTTGGCTGTGCTCTGATTGGATGGGGGAGTGTTCTGTTTGGGTGGGGGCTTTGTTGTGCTCAGGTTAGTCTGAGTTGCAGGGGGATTTGAGATGGTGAGCTTCATTGCTGTTGTTTGGCTTCGTGTTCGTGGTCATGCCACATCTTTATGGTGGGTGTCAGTTTGCTTCATGTATGGATTGGAGGGGTTTAAAGTTTAAACTCAGACTAACCTGAGCACAACAAAGCCCCCACCCAAACAGAACACTCCCGTACTAACATCCAACGGATTCCAAAGAAATAAGATTACCAACCTAATCCAAAAAGAAACTAAAATCCAAGACAAGAGAACAAGAAAACGGCAAAGCCCTCCTCCCATACATAAAAGGCACCACAGACAGAATCAGCAAGATCCTCCACAAACACAACATCAAGACAGCATTCTGCACAAACTGAAAAATATCCACCATCCTAAGAAACCCCAAAGACAAAATTGAGTTAGAAAATCAAGGAGTATATAAAATCCCATGCATCGCCTGCCCCACCACATACATCAGACAAACCAACAGAAGAATAAATGCACGCATTGAAGAACACAAGAACTCAGTCAGAAAAGAGGAACCAACTTCTTCCCTGGTCCAACACCTTAAAGCCACAGGACATAAAATTGACTTTACAAAGACCAGAACTATTGCCAAAACTGAACACTTTAACAACAGAATAATCAGAGAAGCCATCGAGATAGAAAAACGCCCACACAGCATGAATAAACGAGATGATACCTCCCGCCTACCCCCTGCAACTCAGACTAACCTGAGCACAACAAAGCCCCCACCCAAACAGAACACTCCCCCATCCAATCAGAGCACAGCCAACCCCCCATCCAATCAGAGCACAGCCAAGCTCCTTAACCAATCAGAACACACCTCCACCCAATCAGAACACAGCCAAGCTCCCACCCAATCAGATCAAACCTCACTGGCAGTTAAAAGGAAGAAACAGCTGCGATCACACACTACTCCTAGAAGCACGAAGCTGAAGACACCAGCCTGAAGATGACGAATGTGACTTCCTTCTTTCCCATGGTACTATCTAACTCATTCACCACTCGTACTCCCACCACTCTCATCACTCCCTCCTTCTCATCCTCCTCATGCCCACTCCTCCCCTTTTCATTAACCTTCTCCTGTTGTTTCTCTGGCGTGGGGATATTCCCTCCTACATGGTTACCTTCCTGCCGTGCACTCCCCCCATTCTCGATCTCCGTATCACCTTTCCACGATCTTTCCCATTCCCTCCTCTCCTTTCCCTTTCTGGCCTCAGCTCTCCGGTTGGATCTTTCCTCCATGCACGTATGGGTGTCGGTTTCCTCCTCCCCCTCTTTCCTCTGGTGGGGGGCCATTGGGGGTGCGAAGGTATTCTCTCCCTCACAGCTCCCTGGTCCTGCCCTCCTCTCCTCGCCCTTTCTAACCTCCGTTTCCCCGTTCGATCTTTCCTCCGTGTGCACATGAGTGCTGGTCTCTTCCTCCCCACCCTTTCTCAAGCACGAGCGAGAGCTGGTCCCTTCCCCTCCACTCTTTCTCAGGCGCGAGGCTGTTGGGGGTTTGGGGGTGTTCCCTCCTGCGCGTCCCTCTTTCTGTTGCCTCCCCCCACTCTCGATCTCCATAGCAGGTTCTCCGTTGTTTCCCCAATCCACTTCCCATTCTTTCCTCACTGCTCCCTTCCCAGTCACACCTCTCCAATTCAATCTTTCCTCCGCTCGTGCTAAGATGTCAATCCCCTCCACCTCCCCACCCTTCATCCAGCGGGGGGGGCGTTGAGGGTGCAGGGGTGCCCCCCCTTTCGTGCTCACCTCCCTGTTGTCCCTCCTCACTCTCAACCTTCATGGTGATATTCCTACTACCCCCCCACCATCTTTCAACACCAATCCTTTGGTGTGTTCTTTCGTCTGCGCCCATGCGGATGCAGGTCGCCTCCTCCTCTCTGCTTCTCCTCCCCCCCCCTCCCCTGACAAGCAAACTAGGCAAGAAAAGAAAAGGGGTGGGAAAGAGAAGGCTAGGAGTGCAGCACTATGCGGAAGAACGACTAAGAGTTCAACGCAAGAGGATTACCGGGGCCCGGTCACAAGATCTAGGAGCCGGGTGCAAAAGGCACCGCTCCTATAAAAACAGCTACCCCACTGATGGCTAGTCACCCTGACGAAGCCGGCAGGAGGCCGGCGAAAGCTAGGTGTTTTAATGTTTTAATAGCAATAAACTTTTGTAATTTTTTAATCTCCTGGTGGTCTGTTTGTGACCCTTCGAACATGAATTTACCCAGGAGTCATCCTCGACTTAAAATCATAAAGAGAGGCTTAGGTCTCACCCAGTTTCATCCACGTTGCTGTAAGTTTGCTTGGTAGTGCTTGATGTCTTTTGTTGACAGCAGCTTCTGACTGGCTACGCGAATGTAGCCAGTCTTTCCCCCGCCAGTTTGGAGGGCTTCCTTGGATCAAATGAGAGGGCTGCCACACACACACACCCCTGTGATCAAACAAGGGTCCCCTCCTCGCTTGTCACCTCTATGGGGCGGCTTTCGATTCTTTCCAGGGTCCCCCAGTGGAGCGAAATCAAATGCGGAATACGGAGCTTGTCTTCCTGCATCTGCCTCGCCGCAGCACCATAACCAGAAGCTGATAATAATATGTTTCTGAGACAGACATTTGGTGCTTTGCTTGCTTAATACACGAGATGAATGTACCAGATAATGCGCTGCCCCCCAATCGTAGGAACCACACTTTCCTTGCCTGCGCCCCCGGCAATCGAAGAAGCTACGCCTGCCCTGCCATTGGCCTGTGCACCCATCCCACAACACAGCCCCTGCAATTGCCCACCACACACTGCTGTTCGCCTGCAACACCATGGCTTCTCCCTGCCACCCACCCAATTGGCTGGCAGCTAACTGTCCCATGCAGCCAAAAGCCCATGACAAAGGCTCTCAGCGAATGGGCTGGGCCAAAGGGCATGAGGTGGAGGGTGCAGGCCCATTGGCCAGGGAGAATGGGCAGGGGCAGACCAGTGAGGAAGAATGCTGGAGGCAAATGGGCGGAGGCGGGAGGCTCGAGAAGGAGGCGTGGCCAAGGGTAGGAGCCTAAAGGTCCCGTTTCACCATCAAAGTGGCCTCGTTCCTCTGAATGTCTTGGCCGACCACTTGGAAGTTGTGGATGTAATCTGTGAAGGGCTGATGCCACTGTCATATCTCCTGCAACTTCTATTTGCAGTCTGCACATTTACAGATCTCATTGGGCAAACATAGTTGCCCAATGAGCTGCAGACCCTATCAAGAGATTAATCAGGAAGGTCACTTTGTTCCAATGCATGGCAAAGTCCTCCGGGCATGGGCTCATGTACAGCTGGCATTGCCCAAAGAAGGTGGGAATCAAAGTGCCATCAAACCTATCCGGCATCATCATAGGGTATTTAGCCTGCAATTGGGCGAGTTGTGAGGAAAGGACCACCACTTGTTGAGCTAGTTAAACATTGTCAGCAAAGAGCTCCTCCATCTTGTCTGGCTACAACCAAAAGATGGGAGAGAGTGGAGTAGTGGTTGGGAACAAACTGTTATCACCCAGGTTGAGTAAGCAGAAGTAAGCTTCAATAAAGTCCTTCACTGCTTTGCTATCAGACAAATGAGCCCAGAAGCTGGCCAATATATTCCTACAACACTTCTACCAATTGCATGGAGTGCCAAAATGGATCATCTCAGGCTGAGGGACAAAATTTTGGCATGAATTTATAAGGCTTATAGGGTCCTCTCAAGGCCTCAGCTCGGCTTTTCATCCAAGTACAAATTGGGCCGCAGAACAAGCTAACGCCATGGTAGAACAGTACCTGTATTGCTATGTCAACTATCAGCAATCTAATTGGGCGGAACTCCTGCCGTTTGCTGAAGTGGCATACAACAATACAGTGCACAGTATTACAGGGCTCACCCGCTTTAAAGTAGCTACAGGAATGGAATTCACGCCCATGCCGGAATACCCAAGAGAATCCCCCTCATCAGTAACCCTAAGTGAATGGATAATTCCCTCCAAAAAAACATTGGGGAAATGTAAAAAAAGCTCTCATTAAAGCTACAGATAGTCAGAAAAAACAGGCAGATAAGAAGCAAACTCCCCAAGGGACTTCCGCCTAGGAAATAAAATGTATCTATCTACAAAATATCTGAAGCTGAAGCTGCTCTGCAGGAAGCTAGGTCCCAAATACATAGGGCCGTTTCCAATTGCGAAAGTCATTAAGCTAATTACAATAGAGCTAAAGCCACCTAGAATATTAGGTAAAGTGCAACCTGTATTCCATTGTAGTTTACTAAAACCGGCCCAAGCATCTAGGCTAAGACCAGTAGGAAGAGATGCTCCGGGCCCAATAATAGTGGGAAGTGAAACGCATTATGAGATTAAAAGAATCTCATATGTTACTAGTGAAATGTGTGACTGAATCATCCAGAAGGCAATATCTTGGAGCTGCAAAGGCTTCCAGACTATTATTCATGAACATTTTTTTATTTAAATAGTAACAATTTTAAAATAAATTTAATCTTAAGATTTTAATTTAAAAATTTATTATAAAATATAAAATAAAATAAAAAATTAAAATCATAGAGTTTTTAAAACCAGGTCAATTTGTTTAATTCATGTATGTTTTACTCACATTGTTTTCCATTTTCAGCTGTTCAACCATATGCTTTAATTTTGAAGCTTCATCCTCCAATGTGGATGCCTGAGTGGATGATTCCTGTAACCTGAAACAAAAAACTTTCACCCACTATTTTCACAGAATTATATTTTGGGATGATTCAGATTATTTCAAATTCTCAGGTCTTTGCTAAGGCATTGGAATAGGACAACTCGTTGTGGCCAAGTTGCTGCTGCCCTCTTGCCATGGCCTATTTCACATGGCCATCTTGCCGCAGTCAACTTGCCGCAAGACAACTTGTTGTAGGACAATTCCATATGTGACAACTCAACATAATAAATGTTACCCGCCACTGTTTTTTTGACATTATTTCCATTGACAAAAATAGATAGACTTGAGCACTTTGCCCTATCCCCAGCAGAATATGTGAGAGGGATCGAGGGGTCATAGTGGATAATCATTTATGTAGGAGCTAATAGTGTGCCTCAGCTGCTGAAAAAGGCAATGTGATCCTAGGCTGCATCAACAGGGAGATTGTATCAAGATCACGTAAAGTGATAGTACCGCTTGTAAGACCACACTTGGAATATTGTGTTCAGTTCTGGTCACCATGGTACAAAAATGTTGCTGGGACCCCAGAAACAGTGCACATAAGAGCAACAAAAGTAATTAGGGGATTGGAGGCTAAACTGTATGATGAACAGTTACAGGAACTACCTGTAAGTATGTCTAGTCTAATGAAGAGGACTGGGGTGATATGACAGCAATCTTTCAATATTTGAGGGGTTAGGGTTAGGGTAACATCAAGATCATGTGAAGTGATAGTACTGCTTTATACTGCACTAGTGTTCCACACTGCATCCAGCTCTGGTCTCCACAATACAAAAAAGATGCTGAAACTCTGAAAAGATTATGGGGAAGAGCTATGAAAATTATTAGGGGACTGGATGCTAAATCATGGACATGGGTTTCATGGTTAACTTACTCAATACTGTATGGCATTGTTAAGAGTTCTAAAATCAGGATATCTTACAACCACAAGCTAGCAACTATCAAAGTAGGATATAAAGTTACTTTAATGTTATTTGTTTTGAGAAATTTGTGTTAGTTCACTTATATCTTCTCTCAAATAGTTAATAAACTGTTTGATTTTGTATTTGCTTCCTTAGCTACTGATGAAGTTAGTAGATTATTATTCTTCCTCATTTTTTTGAAAAAAAAAACTATACATGCCTACTTCCAGTCTGCCAATATTTACCTTTTCTCAAAGAAAATGTCAGAATATTAAAGCTCAAACTTGGCTGTTTAAGAAAATTTGACCTTGGTTATTCATCCTTCCTTCCAGTTCATGTGTTTTATTTATTGGAGTTATTAGTAAGCTCTGGCTTCTAAAATGTCTCCCATTTTTTTGTAATTTAAATTGTGATAATGCCTATCACTATTTTTTTTCAAATCAGAGACTCCGTCTATTATTTTCTTAGTTTTTAAGACTTCATTTCTTGTGATCTTGAGGTTCTACAGTGCATTCAAGGTAATGTAATCACTTCTAGCCCAAAATATCATTACTGTCACCTCATTAAAGTCCATTGCAGCAAACCCTAATATTAGCTGCTCTTTTTGACTTCTGAAAGATAAAATTATCATTAAATCAAGTCAAAAATTGTTTGTCTGCTCTTGGCAGAACTTGAATTCCAACAGATAATATCCTAACTCAAATTTACTACAACTATACTTTTCTTCTATGAATCCTTACTAATCTGATTTAAGAAGGCATCATACAAGTCTTCTGCTGACTTTTCATTCTGTAGCAAATTCTTTCAATTGTTTTTACTTTCTTTGGGTACGATACAAATGAATCTTCATGTACAAATGTATTGATTTTGTATACAAAGGTACATTTGCTTTTATATATAGTGTTACTCTTCCATTCCTTCCATTTTATCTACTAATTATGTATACTGTAATTACATTAATGTATAAATTATATTGTTCAAAGCTTCACATCACATGGATTCATCAATATTTATTAAACTTTATTTGCCTTCTTATATTAGGAGTTCAAATTCATCCAGTTTATTTCTCACTTCCCCATTCTTGACACGCTGATATAAAGACACTGCCATATTGCTACTAATAAGTAATAAAATTTTAGTACAACCATACTACAACATGGATTTTGTTTTTGTTGACCCTAACCTTAGTCTTTTGTTGACCCTATAGTTATATCACCTTAGCTATACAATCATGCAAAGATTTGAGACAAGTACTGTCCTTACCAAACTTTAGTTGTTTATCAATAGCAACATTCAATATGTTAAATCAACAGCCTTACCTTAAGAGAAGGCACCTTATTTCTGCTCCGTTTGTTTCCTAAATAGGAAAAAAATAGGAAAAAAATAAAATTACATTATGTTCCAAAGTATACCAAGTGATATAATAGATAATATTGTCATAATGCCAGAATGGTCATAAAAAGTCCCACTATGAGACGCAGTTATTAAAATGAGAGATTAGAAAGACTGTTTGAGAATTCTGACCTGCATATCTTTGTTTTTCTCTGCATCTCTCATTTGGCTTGACTCTAAAAGGGCTTCAACTGATTTAATCCTTTCTTCAAGCTGAAAGTTTATGCAAGTTGCATCTGATAATTTAAGGTGGAGATTATTACATTCTTCTACCTTTCTCTTCAGCTCTGTTTCAGAGCACAAGAGTTTAGACTGAAGTTCTGTTAAAGAATGAATAGTAAATGCTAGTAAAAACATGTATTTCAGTATTCCCATAGGGCTTTAAAGTGATCAAATCCAATCTCCTGCTCAGTGAGAGTCCATATAAAAGCATCTTCAAGTGATAGCTGATCAGCATCTGCTGGGAATCTGTCTATGAAAAGGGAATATACACTTCAATTTCATTTTTTTCAATTTTTTATAATTTGTTTTAATTTTTTAAATCTTTTTTATTTTAAAATGCTTTTTTCAATTTTTTTATAAAATCCTTTTTTCAATTTTTTTCAATTTTTCAATTTTTTATTTTAACTAAACATTTGGGAAAAAAACAATTTACTTATTGTAATTCTTTAGAAATTTTTAAATTCTTAATGATCTAAGAGTGGGGGGGGGAACCACAGAAAAAAAAGAGATACCTAAACAGGGATGTTACTGATGAATTTTTCAAGACAGAACAAAAGGTCAAGAACTTTTGTAGACTATTGTAAACTGACATTTCGCAATGCAGAGAATATTTAAATTTTTAGAAGTTTTTAATTTTTTAGCAAATAAAGAAAAAAGTCATAGAGACTGACATTATAGTGACTTGCAAAGTGTGCCATATGTTTCAGATTATGCCCACAGAAGACTGATAAACTGAGCACACTTCAGATGGAGTTTACATGTCGCTTTGTTGATTTGAAAGGCAGAAATTCAGTTTTGACCTGCTCAGTAATCTATTTTCAGTCGAAGTGGAGAGCGCACCTGTAAACATCCAGATGGAGCTGATAGAACTCCAATGTAATAGCACGCTTAGGGGGAAGTATGATTCTGTAGGACCCGCACAGTTCACCAGGTTCATCCCTGAAACAATGCCCCAACTCCGCCTACAAGCTGCTCAAATGCTCTGCATGTTTGGGAGTACCTACCTCTGTGAGCAACTTTTCTGTCATGAGGGTGAACAAAAGTGCACACAGAAGTCTTCTCATGGATGCCACACCTCCACTCTATCCTGAGAATATCCACAGCTCAAAACCTAATCCCAAACATGGATGAACTTGTAGCCAAGAAAAGATGCCAAACATTCAGTTTGGAGAAAATGGCATGAGAACTAAAAAGCTTGTGTTTTTTCTTTGTTTTAAATTTGTTTTTGCAGATTTATTTGAAATAATTTATTTGTTCATATTTGAAATTTTAATCCTTTTTGCCCCACTTCTTAGACATAGTATACTTCTGAACTAATATAATACAATAGTCTTACATGCAACTGGCCCTTTGAAGGCAATCATGATGCTGATGTGGCGAAAGTTTGCAGGAAGCCGTTTCCTCCAAGTCCAACTTCTTCTGCCTTGAAAGATCTCTGGAGAGGAGCAGGAGGTGGTGGGGGAGCTGGGTGAGGGAAGGCTGCTCCAACAAGCCAGCATCCTTACCATGCATGATTGGACATGGGGATTCTCTTTCAAGAAGGGCCAGCCTCCCTCATACAGGACTGGGAAGTGCTGCTCCCCTGCCTTCTCCTCTTGCTCTCCAGAAATCTGTCCAGGCAGAAGTTGGACTTGGAGGAAACTACACACACACACACACACATTCCAAGCTTGGAGACTATCCACATCTGAGCTAGCAAACTGCCAATCATGCCTGCACTTGGGAAGAAGGCTCTCTCCTTCCTCTGTGGATAAAAGTCCCTAAACTTGGAATGTGGTGTGTGTGTGTGCGCATGTGCATGCGTACATGCTTGGCTGCCAGCAGTTTGGGGAGGTGAAGAGTTTGTGGGGCAACGAGTTGTCCCCACATCGAGTTAGCCAGTGCAACTTGTTTTGTCCTGACCCAGCTATCTCGAGTCAGCTGTGCTGAGTGAGTGGCATTGAGCTGGCCACGTCCACCTGGCCATGCCCAACCATAATACTGATGCAGCCCTCAATGAAATTGAGTTTGACACCCCTGCTATATACTAATGCTCAAAGTTTAGGGAACAAACAGGGTAAACTTGAAGTATTAGTACATGAAGGCAGATAAGATATAATTGCCATTACTGAAACCCGGTCGGATGAAACTCATGACTGGAATGTATTGATGGAAGGATATAAACTATTCAAAAGAAACAGACCCAACAAAGGAGGAGGTGGAGTTGCATTATATGTAAAAGATCACTACATCCCTACAGAAATACATAAAACCAAAGATGAAAACCTCCTAGAATCCATATGGGTCAATATAAAAGGAAAAAAGAATGACATTGCTCTATGCATATAGTACAGGCCACCCAACCAAGCAGAAGAAACAGACTAACTCTTTGCTAACCAATTAACAAATATATACCACAGTAGTTATGGGAGACTTTAACTACCCTGACATCAACTGGGAGACAAACTCTGCAGCAAGTGGGAGATCGAACAGATTCCTAACAAACTTAGCTGACAACTTTGTCATCCAAAAGATACAGGAGGGAATTAGAGGAAAAGCTATACTGGATCTACTTTTTACTAACAGAGAAGAAGTGATAGAGGGAATTGAAACTGCAGGAACCTTGGGTGAGAGTGACCACATCATACTGGAATTCAATATAATGCAAACACAAGCAATAGAATATAATCCAACCAGTGTCTTAAAGTTTAAAAGAGCTGATTTTAAGAAACTCAGAGGGAGTCTAAGCAAAATTTCACGGATAAAAATCCTAAAGGGGAAAACAATTCAAGAAGCATGGGAAACACTGAAAAATACAATCATAAAAGCCCAGTCCCAAAAAATACCACTAAAAAAGAAAAACAAGAAATCCAAGAAGAAACCAGCATGGCTGCACAAAGATCTCTCTGACAAACTGAATGACAAAACGGATAATTACAAAAAATGGAAAAATAATAAACTTTATTACGGTCATAGACCAGCAATAGCCATCACTTAACAAAAAATGGAAAGAGGGACACATAACTAAGGCAGAATATCAGCAAATAGCCTGAATCTGCAAAGATGAAGTCAAGAAAGCAAAGGCTCAGAATGAACAAAGACTTGCAGCAAAAGTCAAAGATAATAATAAAAAAAGTTTCTTCCAACATATAAATAACAAGAACAAAATCAAGGAAACAGTTGGTTCACTAAAGAGAGAAGACAGCAAGGAAATAACAGGCAGCAGAGGGAAAGCAGAGCTGCTTAACTCATTCTTTGCATCAGTCTTCACACAAAAAGGAAACTATAACCCAACCTACCAAAAACATAACTGTAAAAAACAGACTAGAAATAGTAAAAATTAAAATAAGCAAGAAATGAGAATATCAGTCTGACCTTGATGAATATAAATCCTTGGGACCTGATGGATTACATCCCAGAGTTCTGAAGGAGCTGGCAGATGTTATTTCAGAACCCTTGTATCATATCTTTAAAAAATCTTGGAGCACTGGGAAACTACCAGATTGGAGAAGAGCTGATGTGGTTCCCATCTTCAAAAAAGGAAAAAAACCAGACCCAGGAAATTACAGACCAATCAGCCTAACATCAATACCTGGGAAGATACTGGAAAAAATAATCAAAAAACAGATCTGTGAATATCTAGAAACAAGTAAAGTTATAACTAGTAGCCAGCACAGATCATGCCAAACCAACCTTATTTCATTCTAAATTAGTAGACCAGCAAAATGCTGTGGTAGTATAGTATATTTAGACTTCAGCAAGGCATTTGACAAAGTAGACCATAACCTACTTCTTGGTAAGCTAAAAAAAATGTGGGATAGACAGCATCACCATCAGATGGATTTGTAACTGGCTGACAAACTGTACTCAACGAGTAGTCCTTAATGGTACTACATCTACACAGAGGGAAGTAAGCAGTGGGGTGCCACAAGGTTCCATCCTAGGCCCACTACTCTTCAATATCTTCATAACTGACTTAGATGAGGGAATAGAAGGGGAACTCATCAAATCTGCAAATGACACTAAGCTGGCAGGAATAGCCAACCCCCCAGAAGACAAGCTCAGAATCCAAAAAGATCTTGACAGACTTGAACAATGGGCCCCATCCAACAAAATGATATTTAATGTGGAGAAAAGCAAGGTTTTACACCTAGGAAGGAAAAACCAAAGTTACAAGTATAAATTAGATGAAACCTGGCTCAAAAACAGTAACTGTGAGAAGGACCTTGGAGTCCTAGTGGATGATCATTTAAACATGAGTCAGCAGTGTGCGGCAACTGCCAAAAAAGCTAAAAGAATCCTTGGTTGTATAAACAGAGGCATAGAATCAAAATTACATGAAGTATTAGTACTGCTTTATAAAACCTTAGTAAGGCCACATCTGGAATACTGCATACAGTTTTGGTCACCATATTACAAAAAAGATGTAGAGACTTTGGAAAAAGTGCAAAGAAGAGCAAGTAAGATGATTAAAGGCCTAGAGACTAAAACATATGAAGAATGGTTGCTGGATTTGGGAATGGTCAGTCTAGAGAAAAGAAGAACTAGGGGAGACATGATAGCACTATTCCAGTATTTGAGAGGCTGCTACAAGGAGGAGGAGGTCAATATTTTCCAAAGCATCAGAAGGCAAGACAAGAAACCATGGATGGAAACTAATCAAGGAGAGAAGCAACCTGGAATTAAGGAGAAACTTCCTAACAGTGAGGACAATTAACCAGTGGAACAGCTTGCCTTCAGAGATCATGGGTTTTTAAGAAGAGACTGGACAGCCACATGTCTGAAATGATATAGGGACTCCTGCTTGAGCAGGGGGCTGGATTAGAAGACCTCCAAGGTCCCTTCCAGCTCTATTCTGATTGATTTGTATCTTCAAATAAATATCACTGATAAGCAATAACAATACTGTGCATATACACTCTAATATAAGTTATAAAAAGGCATATGTATGGAGATATAATAGAAATAGAAAAATGAGAAATGGATTTAAATCATAAACATATAAATGGAGGCACTATTAGTATTCTAGTATGTCTGTGTTTCCTTTTCTTTCTTCATTTGCCATTATTTAATATATTTTCTTTAATGCTTTATAAAAATTAGAATCAAATTATAAATAGTGGCAGCTAAATTTGTGTGTGTGTAATATATATATATATATTATATATATAAAACACACACACACATGAATGCTAGAGACTAATATCAATAGGAGAAGCAGGCAAGGATATCTGTCCCTGCCCACCAGATATCTGATAGTACCTATAGTCATTAGTGTTATGATGTCATTCTGACCAATGACGATCTTCTAGATGTGTATTTGCCAAATTTGCTCAAAATACAAGCACAACAGAAATGGAATTCCCACTCTTCTTAGAAGTGTATCTGAAACTCAAATGACAGAATTCAGCCAAAATGTTACACACAGTAAAGCAAAAGCACTGAAATCTATACTTTTGTTTCGTTTTATGCAGCAGAATAACTTGCCCACTGAAAGACACAATTTTACTCACTTTCTGTGGAAAAAAAGAATAATTGAGTTACAGAAGTAGAACTAAATATTTTTCATAACGGAAAGAATATCCACTATTACCCCCATACAATTTCTCACCAGCAAAATCGAACTGCTGCTCTTCTGCCTTTTCCAGATCTATCTGTAAGCGTTGATAATTGGCCTGTGATTTGCAGAGTTCTTCCCTGACGTCATCCAAGCTCTCCTGTAGTAGGCCTTCACTTTCTTTCTGGGATATCTGCATAAAGAGTAGAGCAGAAATTAAAAGCGGGCATATACATATACAGCTACAGTTGTTCTTTACAAACTGCGTATCTAGTAGATAAGATATATTGTGGCTATCACCAGAACTCATTATTACCATGCTTGCCAAATCATTTGTGAACTAAGATAGTTTCACACCTGACCACATGGATAGCACTTCTGTTAATGAAACCTTGGCATATATAAAGCATAAATGGATTTTTCAATATTAAAGCAAAGTGATGCATCGGTATGTATAAGAATTCTTATGTATATGAATGCCTTTGAATTCCACACATCTCTCATGTGATGACAGAATTCACCATGGCATTTAGTTTTGACCTCCTCCTTCTCCTCCCCCCTCCCCCCACTTCTGGCAGCCTCAACTATTGTTATTTGCTGCTATTGTAGTGGTTTTTTTTTAATGTTGTCTCTCCATCTTCTTTGGGGTCTGCCTCTTGTTCTTTGGCCTTCTCCTCTTTTTTGTATTTGCCTTATATGGTACAGAATCCCAAGACATTTCCTCAAACATCTCATTTCTGTGATGACTAACTTTCAGTTATGTTTTATTGCAAGTGTCCATGTGTGGAAATGGTAATATACGTTGGGGATGAATATGCTTTGTATGAGATGCTTCTTGTGCTGATTGTTACTGTCTTGTGTTGTAAGAGTGGGGCTAACTGTTCCAATACTCGGTTTGCCTTACTGCATCATATGTTAATTTCTTTGTCCATTTTTCCATCTTCAGTGAGTGTTGTTTCAATATATTTGCATTCTGATACTTATCTTATGCTTGTTCCCTCTATTATTATGTTTAAAGTGCACTTTTTTCTACTGATTGTTATTACTTGTGTTTTCTCTTTGTTGATATTCATATTGTTTATCTTGCATTCTTGGTTCATGGACAGAAGATGTTGTTGCAGTTCCTTAGATATATGTGCTATCAATGCTTGATAATCTGCAAAGAGTAGTTCATTGGTATTAGTTCCATTCCTAGGCTTAGCTGCTTTGCTTATGCTGTCAAGGTGATAAATAATAGTTGTAATAGTACACATCCCTGTTTTATTCCAATTGGGTTCTGATGCTCCTTGTTTTGTAATCACTACGCTTCTGCAATCATTGTATAAGCTTTTACATAATCCAATAAGATGTTCACTTACTCTACATTGCGCATTGTTTGCCATAGTATTTTCCTATCTGCTCTGTCAAATGCTTTCTCTTCTTTTTCCCCCTTTTTCTTGAGCTTTGATTTTGCCTCCATAAAATAACATTTTAATAGTCTAAAACAAGCAAAACGTGTTTTAACAGTCCAATCCCTTCCAGCCAGAGTCACTTTTTGGATTTCACAATACAAACCTGATTGTAGCTTGTGTCATTTGCTGTCTATTGGGAACGATGGAACTCACCACCTCTTCCCAGGTGCTTTTGTACTGGGGCATGCGGGACAGGGCATCAGCAAGAAAATTCTTCCCCCTTGAAATGTATTTTAACTCAAAATCAAATCTTTTGAAGTACTGAGCCCATCAGACTTGCTTAGGAGAGAGCTTGTGGGAGGTCTTCAGGGCTTCTAAATTTTTATGGTCAGTCCACACCTCAAATGGGGCTTTACTTCCCTTCAAGAATTGCCTTCATGTCAATAACACCCATTGCACCACAAAAGCCTCTTTCTCCCATACAGCCCACCGCCATTCTGTTTCATTCAGTCTGAGAGACGTGTAGTGCACGGTTGTAAGTTTCCCTCCTTATTTAGCTGAAGGATGACTGCCCCCACAGCTACATCACTGGCATCTGCCTGAATTACAAACGGTTCCTCTGGATCTGGGTGTTTCAAGACTGGCTCAGCCGTGAACTTCCTCTTTAGGTTTTTGAATGCCACTTGGCATTCCATTGTCCAGTTCAAGGGCTGATTCGGTCTGAGCTTCCCCCCCTTCCCTGTTACCAATTCAGTAATTGGTAAGGCAATCTTGGGGATGAACTGTCTGTAGAAATTTGCAAATCCTAGAAAACTGCTTGAGGGTGCAAGGGGCTTGCTAGTCCAAGATGGATTTCACTTTTGCTGGGTCCATCTCCATGCCCTCGAATGAGACACAGTATCTGAAGTAGTCCAGGCTAGTCTTGTGAAACTAGCATTTTGACAGTTTAGCATACAGCTTAGCATCCAATAGTTTTTTTGGCACCTGTCGCACGAGTTTCACGTGTTCATCCATGGTCTCAGTGTAAATGAGGATGTCATCCAGGTACACTAAAAAACCCTTATATAAATGCTCATATAGCACCTTGTTTACAAGTTGCATAAATACAGCAGGGGCCCCCTGCAATCCAAAAGGCATCACTTTAAATTGGTAGCTAGCTCCCAAGAGGGTTGAAGTGGAAGGCACTCGTCGCCTTCCTTAATTTTCACCCGATAATACACCTCCCTCAGGTCTAATTTCGTGAATATTTTCCTTTTGGCCAAATGTCCCAACATGTTCTTCATGAGGGGGAGGGGGTACATGTTTTCCATGCACACTCCATTAATCCCATGGAAATCAACACACAATCTCAGTGACCCATCTTTCTTTTCTTTAAATAGCACTGGTGCCACCACTTGAGATTTCACCACTTGGTTAAACCCCCTCGCTAAATTATTATCAGTGTAGTCCCTCAGCTATTTCATCTCCTTCTGAGTCATGGAGTACATTTTCAGCTTGGGGAGCTTTACTCCAGGCAGGATCTCGATAGCACAGTCCATGGGTGGAGAGGGGGCAGGACGTCACACTCTTTCTCACTGAACGCCGCTATGATGTCCTTCGTGCCAGTGTCTCAGTCTCCCCGCGATCTTAAATTTTCTGATGTACTCTGCTACAGGTCTGCTCCCCTGCCTGGTGGTTCAGAACTCAGCCTCAGCATATCAGGTTTGCATGGGGTTGCCGAACCGGTTCTGAGCTCTCCCAGTAACGTATCCAGGTCCCCCAGCTTGGGAGCTCCCTCGTCATGTAGGGTAATCACCCATTCTGCAGCTTCTCCCTCAAGATTCGCCACAATAACCTCCATCCAGGCCTCGTCGTCAGGATACATCTGAACGAACCAGTCCAGATGATCACACCTGGTTCAGGAAGAAGGCCAGCTTCTCTGGGGTCCTGTCAAAGGTTGCTTTTAGCTATTGGGGGCTACTGGGCTCTGAGCACAGGCCAATGTCCTGGGACTCACTCCCCCACATAGGGAAAGGCCCAGGTTCAGCAGCTGGCCTTGGTGGTTGTAGCAGCTGGCCAGCCATGCCAAGCAGTTGTGTGGTTGTTGATGGAGGACTGGCAGCCCTGGGCCACAGCACTGGATTGAGGAGTGGCAAACCCCTGGGGGCTGTCTGTCTCCTCAGTTGTAGTAGTCACTGCCCTCAGGTTGGATCGAGACGATAGGCTCGGCATGGCTGTCAGGAGTTGGCTGTATCTTGCCTGGGGGATCCACTCCTGGCTCCCAGCCGGCTCCTCTCTCTGCACTTCCAGGCTACACCATCTCTTCCATGACTGCTCGATTGACTGCTGCCTACTGCGAAATGCCCCCAGTCCACCGGTCCTTTCCATTCCAAATTTTTCCTCCTCTTCCATCCAGGCATCTTCTCCTGAGTCTTCACAACCCCTCTGGAGGTGACCGGATAGGGTGAAGGGGCTCAGGACCCCTTAGTTGAAATTGAAATTTAATGAGAGCTGACTTATTGTCACAACTCCAGCTGATGATCCCAAGAAAGCAAGCATACCTGAGATATTGCAATCTCTAATGCCAGACTTTATTAGGAAATGCATTCCGGCAGTAATGAACTCCAAGTCAGCTCTATGTCAGAACCCATTCCTATTTCATTTGTACTATCCCCTCTGACCTAAAAACAAATATCACCTTTCCTTGGGTTCTGCCATACTCCCAAGGGGGAGGGGGATGTGCCTATGGAGCTATTGCTTTTCCTTCCTCTATTTGCTACAATGTAACCTTTTGCTTCGTTTATTGCCTCTGTCTGCTGCCCGCTACAATGTAACAATTTGCTTCCTGTACTGTATCTCTCTATGAACTTTCTTCTCTCTAACCTGTCAGCCAGGAAGAGTGGGGGAGAAAAAAATACAACCTCCGGAGCCTGGCTTATTTCTCCAGTCTCAAAAGGAGGTGCGAAGAGCTGCTTGAGCATCGTGCTACGACCAGAGCCGGACCGATGCTATCTCCCCTTTCGCACAATGGACTTAACACCTGGGGATTGGCTGGTTGGAACCGTCCGGATGAACTGTGAAGTGGAGTTTGCTTAGGGACACTTTAAAGTATCGATCTATAAAGGAATCCCTCAGATCCTGTCTATTATGCCTGTTTTCAACTACTCTTAATAAAAGTTCCTTTTGGAGGAAACCGTCTCCAAGAGTTCTGCTTTCTTAAGATGTGGGATTGAAGTGGGTCCTTACACTCTAATTAAATTGGCGTGAAAGCAGTATATTCAAAGCGTAGCAACTCCCTTTCCCCTCTGACAGTGCCGGTCACATCACCCAATTAAGCTCCAGACAATTATTATGAGAAAGAACCTTCAGTTTCCAAAACAATCGCCACAGCTGCAGATACAACACACATTCCATTCTCCTGCCCTTCCCCCTGTCTCTGTTGGCAAGTCAAGGAAAGAAAGAATCTGAAACAGCATGAAGCTTTTTTACGAACATGACATTATTATTTAGTTTTAAAATGTAGTATCACCTATGTTTTGCTGTATTTTTACTTTTTAAAATATTATCCAATTGCATTTTATATGGTTTGAGCTGCACTTGATAGTATTGTAGTCCACATACAACCTGTGGGCCCCTCTGATCTAGATGGTACTACTCTTACTAATTGACTGAATGAACTCATGAATAAACTATGTATTAATACCTGTACTTCATCTTTCTTGGAAATATTTTAATTTCAGCTATCCTGCCAAAAAATTATAAAAATTCTGTTATAACAAGTTTTGTTTGAACTATTCTCTGAAGAAAGTTATAACTGATGTAT